AGCCACAAGGAAGGATGTTCAATAAAAGCTGAAAGCACTGAGTTCAGCCCAAAAACCTGAAACAAAGGAAATAATACAATTTAAAAGCAGGATGTACAGGTTTTCTGTTCTACGCTCGTAACAGCTCTTTTTGCCTGGGCCTGACTTTTGTCACAAACCTGGTTCTGCCTTGGGGAATCCTCTGCCCACCAAGAATCCTAAGCAGCCAACTACATCTCCTGAAATGGCCAGGACAATTGCTCTCACCAGTAGTCAGAGACAATCTTCCTGGTAAGAGTGGGGAAATTCATCCCGGGCTGGAAGGTTCCCCTCTGGTGAAACCAACTAAGAAGAGAAGGAACTGTCCTAAAGCTCCCAACTTAAATGATCTGAAGCCAGCTTTTAGTTATCCCCTCCTCCAGGTTCATGCTGCTGTCTGTACTCTTTAATAAAGAGGGAAACATTTAACCGTTTTTTCCTACAACAGAACTAAACTACCAAGTAGAGGGGCTAGATGCCCACTGACAGAGGTGTATTATGCACACTGACGGAGGAAGTGCCCATCCTATAATTTCTGCTTGTTGGAGCTGTGGATGAGAATATTCTGGGACTGTCTTATTCGTGGGCCCACAACTTGTGTCCGCGTGTAAGTGTGTAACCCTAACTTGGCCTGGTGATCAGCTCCTTGCTGCCCTCTTTCCTTTTTTTTTTTTTTTTTTTTGTATTTTGCACCTTGTTTTTTTCTCCCAGAGCTGAAGACTCTTGCACTTGCCGGGCAAGTGCTCTTCCACTGAGCTAAATCCCCAACCCCTCTTGTTGCCGTCTTGTCTTCCCAATCACTTGACTCCTACTGCCTTCTCTGGTGACTTTTGCCCCTGGCACCTCCACACCTGCTGCTTGTTTAATGTAGTCCTTAATACTACGCCCTTCTAACTCCAAGGGCCTCTTGACCCTTTGAACATGGCAATGTTAACTCTAGGCTTCCCAACGAAGCAGGAACCATCTACCCCATTCCTAACCTATACCTACCTAATTGTCACCAGCCCCATGCTGTCCACACCACCGTATTCTAGACAGCAATTCCTTGTTTGCTGTGTGACTATAGATCAGATGTTGTTCTTTAGATAGCCTCAGGTACTAGCAGACCTGTGGAAGTTCTCTGTCACCCAGTGGGTTCTTCACCAAAGAAGTGAGGAACGCAGTTTGGCGTAAAGGCTTCTATTCTAACTTTATCCTCTCTTGGCACTGTCCTCAATCTTCAGAAATGTCCTCCCAGAATTTTCTTACATATCCAGTAAGGCTAGGAAAGTAATGAAATGATAGGAAAGGAAAACAAAGGTTTGGGATTAGTTGCAGATGACAGGAATATGTACATAACATGTTGCATGATATTTGCAGGCCTCTGATTTGAATCAAGCAAAGACACTTAGCTACACTTTGGTTCACACCTATCATCCCAGCTAGTCACCAGTCAGAATTGGGATTCACAGTTCCAAGTTCAAAGCCAGACTGGACAAAAAGAAGATGAGATACCCTCTTCATAATAGCTGAGCATGAGGATACCGGCCTGTCATCCTTGCTGCTCAGGAAACTCCATAGGAGGCAGCCTGTCCCAGCTACTTCTGATGCAAGCACAAACCTTGTTCCTAAAATATCTAAAGCAGGGCAGAGTCTGGCAGCAGGCTCAAGTGGTACAGTGCCTGTCTAGGCAAGTGTAGGGCTGAGTTGGAACCTCCTGCACTATCAAAACAAAATAAGATAGAATAAAAGAGTTTCTACCTTTAAGTTGATCACCAATGGCTCAGTCCTATTATTCTAGCTATTGAGGAGGCTGAGATGTGAGAAATGCAGTAGGAAGCCAGCCTTTACAGGGAAGTCTGTGAGACACTTTCTTCCAATTGACCACCAAAAAGCCAGAAGTGGAAGTGTGGCTCAAGTGAGAGCAAGGTTTTCACTAAAGTGTCTGGATGTTAAGCTCTAGATGTTAAGGCTAAAGAATGATGGTGCCTGGGCCCTGTGGTTAAATCCTAGGACCAGTACTAAAAAAGACCAAGTTTGGACCTTGGTAGATTAAAGCAATAACATAAGTCAATTCCCTTGCCTTCAATTTCCAGAAATGAAAAAAAAAAAAAAAAAAAAAAGCTTGAGTGAAAACAGAGAAAGGACAGCACTAAGGCCCTGAGTTGAAGCTCAGGCACCAAAGGAACAAACAATAACACTAACAAAACAAAGAGAAAACCGATGATGGTGAGACACAAACATACAAAAATAATAAAAGGTATGCTTGGGCTGGGAGAGCACGCCCTCATGTGGTCTACCACCTGCATTACAAGTGCAAGGTCCTGTTTCCTGCCCCAGGAACTTTTTCTTTTCTTTCTATGACAGTGCAAAGAATATTTCTTTGCCCCACGATTTCACAGAAAATATTGTTAAAACAGATTTCGATTTCACAGAAAATACTGTTAAAACAGATTTCGTTAAAAGAAAAGCAATATGATGCTATGTGTGACTAAATCATGAGAACATTCATAAATAGGGCACAAAATAAAAATTCATATAACAGAGCAAGGGAAGAATGTGGTCACTATTATGGTTGTTAGATAAAATATGTAATGACCCAATTAAGCTGGAAAGCAATGATGGAAAATGGAACAAGAAATATATTAGAAGACTTAAACTTGACCATGCTTTCTATGGAAGAGAAACTCTACAGGTGTGAAAAGCAAAAACTTAAAGGCAGTTTAGATGCTGGCCATCCCTCGATTTAAAAAGAAATCAATAAATTCAGAGAAATGCTTCCTATAGGTGAATATGTGAGGAAGCAGGATTTGTCTGTGCTGCTGTGGGGACGAAAATTGGCACAACTACTGAAGAAAGCAAGTTGGGCTAGTCTGAGCAACATAGTGACATCCTGACTCTCTGCCCCTGCTTTTCCCTGTCCTTGCTGTTTCTACCTCCCTTGCTTTTTGCTCCCTATCTCTGTCTGTCTGTCTGTCTAACTGTCTCTGTCTTTGTCTCTCTGCCTCTGTCTCTGCCTCTCTATCTCTGTCTCTCTGTCTCTCTCTTTCTCTCTCTCACACACACACCTACACTGACATCATTTTGAAAATATCTATACCGTATGGACCATGATTTCATTCTCGGATGTATAATCTATAGAGGTTTTTACATCCATTCCGTGGACAAGGTACACGATTGTTCCTGATAATGCTCCAAAGCCAGAAACCATCTTAGTTTGCATTATCAAGTTAGTGTACAGTGGGATGGCACAGGAATGTCATTATCCTATAAGTCTATACCTATAGTCATATGCGGCTGGGATACCACTCGATAGTGGCATAGACAAAGAATTTACCCACTGCTACAGTGAGCAACAGGTAATTCTCAAATATAATACAGAGTGAAAGGAGCTAGTCATAAAGGAAGCATTTGGGTATGATAGTGTTTACTAAGTCTATAAAGGTGTGCTATTCAGGGAGGTGTACAAGCAAGGAGATGCTAGAAAGCAGAGCACCATTTCAGATATCACCAAATCCAGATAATGGCACATCCACAAGAGGGCATGAGGGTTGTGATTGGGAGGAACAGAATGGCTCTATTCTGGAAGGCTGGCAACATTTTATTTCAACTCATAGACCAAGGCCAACAGCTTGGTCCTGGTTTCGTTGGTGTTGGAGGCTCCCCTTTGTACCTCAGACCTGAACCCTGCTTCCTGCCAAGACTGAATCAAGAGAGAGAACGGAATAGAAATTTTGCTGAGGTTTGAATTCTTGTGGACGAAGAAAACTTGATTTTTCCGGCCAAGAGGCCTCCAAGTATCTACTATGCTCCAAGTATCAAATGTTAAGGTGGGATGGAGGTGGAGGTGGAGGGGAGACTGGTGGGTTATTCCAGTGACGAGACTTCCACGACCCAGTCATCCCGTAGAGTTTTCACTCACCAGACCCTTCACCCTATATTTAGGTCACTGGTCAGCTCACTGATGACAAACAGGTTGGAGGGCATCGTCATTCATTTGCCCACCAGGCATGATCACGGGCTGCATGCACGACAGCAAGACTTAACTGGAGAACAGCTAGCCGGTGGTTGTCAGGCTGCGTTTTACTCCAGGGAGCCAACTGCAGCGATTTAGGCCTTAAAGTAGACTCTTGGAAGTGCAGCTCGTGCCAGTCTAGAGACCTCCCTGAGTGGAGAAGCAACGGAAGGAATTCCTGCTTGCTCTGTGACACTGGGCCTGAACCTCATGTGCTATTGAACAGGAAACTTGTCATGGCGTAAGCGATGATGGTGGACGGCCAAAGTGTGCCCTCAGGCTGAGAAGTTGAGTCTGTAGGAGAATCCAGGCTCGGGTTGGCTGTTCCAGATTCCAAAATGAATAGCTTTCACCCTCCAGGCTTTGCACTTCCAGGCTGACAGGTGCTCACGTGATTGGGCCCCATCCCTTCCTCTGATGTCTAGACCAGGAGGACGAAATCGTATGCAGGTGGGCATTTTGCTCTGAGAGCTTGCTCAAGACCATTCTGGGTGCAGACATTTCCTCGCAGCCAGGCAGCCAGGCAGCCAGAGCTGAGCCGTGTTCAACAGAGAAGCAGCAGCACCAGGCAACAGGCTGGGGGCACCAGCAAGGCGGGCAGGAAAGTGTTAATTTCCTCTGTAGGCAGTGGGGTAGGGACTTGAGTCATCCCGGGTGCCAGATAGCCTAGGTGCTGCATTTCCAAGAGCCAAGGAGCTGTCATTTGCCCCCATTGGGTCTGATGCCCTTGGCGACTTCCTAATAGCAACAGGGGTCCTTATTTGTGTCCTGGGGGCTGTGCCCCCGGGCTCTCCATGCAGTTCCAGAGACCCAGTACCCGAATATTTAAATCACTATGGCGTTAAACACGTTTTAATATCTGATAGGGCCAGTTTCTGCGCATTGCACATTTTTTTTTCCTTTGAGGAACATGTTTGGGCCCGCGGCAGGGGGCGGGGTCGCGCCTCCGCCTCGGCTCTGGTTCCAGCAGAGCCTCAGCGACACAGAGATGGAAATCCCGAGGCTGCTGCTGGCTCGCCGGACGGCGCAGGGCGGCGGCGGCGGCGGCGGCGGCGGCGGCGGCCCCGCGGGCGGCAGCGGCGGGGTCCACCGAGGCCCCGACTCGCCGGCTTGTCAGGCCCCGGCGCGCCGCCTCCTCCTGCTCCGGGGGGCCCAAGATGGCGCGCCCGGGCCGCGGAGCGACGAGGCCCATAGGGCCTCGCGGGGCCCCGGCCCGAGCCCAAGCCCGAGCCCGCTGGCGCCCAGGCCGGATCTTGCGATCGGCGGCGGCGGCGGCGGCGGCGGCGGTGGCGGCGGCGGCGGCGGCGGCGGCGGCGGCGGCGGCGGCGACGACTTCTTCCTGTTGCTGCTCGACCCGGTGGGTGGCGACGTGGAAAGCGCGGGCGCGGAGCAGGCCGGAGGGCCGGTGCGGAGGGAGGAGGCCGAGGCGGGCCTGGGGCCCGAGCGGGGCGGGAGCGGCGCGCAGCCCGCCAGCCGCCCCGCGCTGGTCCCCCGCCGGCTGGCGGCAGTGGCGGCGGCCTCGGCGCCCGTGTCGGTGCCCGTGCCGGCGCCGGTGCCGGTGCCGGTGCCCGTGCCCGTGTCGGTGCCGGTGTCGGGTCCCGTGCCGGGCCTGAGCCCCGCGCCTGGCCCCGCGGCGGCCTTCGCGGGCACCATCACCATCCACAACCAGGACCTGCTGCTGCGCTTCGAGAATGGAGTCCTGACCCTGACCACGCCCCCGCTGCCCGCCTGGGAGCCCGGGGTCGCGCCTTTCCCGCAGCCGCAGCCCGGGGGTCCGGCCGCCCCGCCGCCGGCCGGCTTCCCGCAAGCTGCCGCCGCGCAGCTGGGAGACTGCCCCGAGTTGCCGCCCGACCTCCTGCTGGCGGAGCCGGCCGAGCCCGCGCCCGCGCCGGCGCCTGAGGAGGAGGCCGAGGGCCCGGCGGCGGCCGCCCAGAGCCCCCGCGGACCGCTGGTGCCCGGCCACCCGGGCGTGGTGCTGTACCTGTGCCCCGAGGCGCAGTGCGGGCAGACGTTCGCCAAGAAGCACCAGCTGAAGGTGCACCTGCTGACGCACAGCAGCAGCCAGGGCCAGCGGCCCTTCAAATGCCCCCTGGGCGGCTGCGGCTGGACCTTCACCACGTCCTACAAGCTCAAGAGGCACCTGCAGTCACACGACAAGCTGCGGCCCTTCGGCTGCCCCGCCGAGGGCTGTGGCAAGAGCTTCACCACCGTGTACAACCTCAAGGCACACATGAAGGGCCACGAGCAGGAGAACTCGTTCAAGTGCGAGGTGTGCGAGGAGAGCTTCCCCACGCAGGCCAAGCTCAGCACCCACCAGCGCAGCCACTTCGAGCCCGAGAGGCCCTACCAGTGTGCCTTCTCGGGCTGCAAGAAGACCTTCATTACCGTCAGCGCCCTGTTCTCCCACAACCGCGCCCATTTCAGGGAACAGGAACTCTTCGCCTGCTCCTTCCCGGGCTGCAGCAAGCAGTATGACAAGGCTTGCCGCCTCAAGATCCACCTGCGCAGCCACACGGGTGAGAGGCCCTTCCTCTGCGACTTCGACGGCTGCGGCTGGAACTTCACCAGCATGTCCAAGCTCCTGCGGCACAAGAGGAAGCACGAGGACGACCGCAGGTTCACCTGCCCCGTGGAGGGCTGCGGCAAGTCCTTTACCAGGGCCGAGCACCTCAAAGGCCACAGCATCACCCACCTGGGCACGAAGCCCTTCGTGTGCCCCGTGGAAGGCTGCTGTGCTAGGTTCTCTGCCCGGAGCAGCCTCTACATCCACTCCAAGAAGCACCTGCAGGATGTGGACACTTGGAAGAGCCGCTGCCCGGTGTCCACCTGTAACAAACTCTTCACCTCCAAGCACAGCATGAAGACCCACATGGCCAAGAGGCACAACCTGGGCCAGGATCTCTTGGCGCAGCTGGAGGCGGCCAATTCCCTCACGCCCAGCAGCGAACTGACCAGCCAGGGCCACAGTGATCTCAGTGGCCCCGAGATAGTGTCTCTCTTCTCCGACGTGCCTGGCGCTGGCTCTGCCGCTGTGCTGGACACGGCCTTGGTCAATTCGGGAATCCTGACCATCGATGTGGCTTCCGTGAGCTCCACTCTGGCGGGGAGCCTCCCCGCCAGCAGTCCGGATGCCCTGGGGCCCGCTGTGGATGCCCGCGCCCTGAGGCCCGCCAGCGACCTGCCCCAGAGTCTGGACACCTCGCTCTTCTTCGGAACCACGGCCTCTGGCTTTCAGCAGAGCCCCCTGGATCTGGATGATGTCTCCAGTGGCAGCGTGGGGCCCTTGGGCTCCCTGGGCTGTCTGGCCATGAAAAACGCAAGCGCAGAGCCCCAGGCTCTGACGCCCAGCAGCAAGTTGACCGTGGACACGGAAGCTCTCACTCCTTCCAGCACCCTCTGTGAAAACAGCGTCTCCGAACTCCTGACTCCAGCCAAAGCCGACTGGCATGTCCATCCTGACTCGGACTTCTTTGCACAGGAGGAAGACAGCCAGTTTGGCTTCTCCAACCCAACAGGAAACCATGGCTGTCACAAAGAAACAGATCTTATCACAGCGACGGGCAGCTCCTTTTTGGTATGAACCGACTCTGTTCCTTCTCCGCCACGCCATGCCACCGGGCTTGCTTTTATTACGCTCGAATTTGAGGGGCCTCTGGACTGAATGCTTCCGGCCGTGGGATCGTTTCTCACTGCTTTGAGAGACAGCCCCTCCCTCCCTGGACTGCAAGTGTGGAGATTTTCATTCTGATCTTGAGTGGAACTGACAAGTTCTGTGACCCTGAGTGAGTCACTTGACTTCTCTGAGCCTTAATGTCCTTATTTATAAGAGGAGGTGGTTTGATTGGGTTGCTCTATGGTCTTTTGAACTCATTAATTCCTTGGTAATATGCTACTTTCTTTCTAAACTTTTCCGACATCTTTCAATGATGATTTTATTTTTCTTTTTACAAACATGCGTTAAGTTAAATTATGTTATAGTGAATACGTTTTTATTTGGCTCTTGCACTCAACAATTATAAATTCATGAACCAGCTGAATATTGTAAGTGCTGTATATCTTTTACTATTATTTTGGAAGTATTACTAAATATTTTATTGGAAGTATTCCATATACATCTTTAAATGTTTTGTGGTCCTTTAAAAGCATATACTTCGTATCGTAGTTAACATTAACCATTATTCCTTATTATGAGTCAATATTCCAGCAGGTTTCAACCTTCCAATTGTCTAATAAATGCAATGTGTTTTAATATTTTTGTATTTATGATGTCAATTTGTCTTAAGTATGTTTTATATCTATATATAAACCCCTTCAGATTTTTGTATAATTTTGTTCATTGAAAAAGTAGGTCATTTTTCATGTAGCACTTGCCACAATGTAAATTTTGCTCATGTCATTCTTAAGGTGATGTTTACTTTTTGTGGATCCTGGGGCTTGAACATAGGGCCCAGGCAATGTCCCTGAGCTTTTTTACTCCACGCTAGTGCTCTACCACTTAAGCCACATATCTCTACTTTTGGCTTTTTGGTGGTTAATTGGAGATAAGCATCTCATGGACTTTCCTGGGTGGCTGACTTTGAACCACAGTGCTTGGATCTCAGTCTCCTGAGTAGCTAGGATTACATCCATGACTCACCTGTTCCCAGCCTTTCTTCACTATAGTAGTTTAATCAATGACTTGATCAATTAGGTATATGATTTTTGGCGTGAATGTTTCATGAATTATCTGTGTTCTTTTACTAGGTGGCTTATTTCAGGTTTTCTCTGTTTTTCATACTGTCAGCCATTTCTAATCATCACTGATTCTTGATTATTTTTGCTTCTGCTATGATGATTTTTTTCTGGGGTAATTACTAACAATTTGGGTGAATGCTGTTTTGGGCACTTATAAAATTTATTAGAAATAGTCAATGCCAAAATATGTACTTAAATTATCATAAATCTATTAAGAAATAAATAGCAAATAAAAAGTGTTGACTATTGTCACTTTGTATTCTTGACCTCTTTTGAGGCATGGAGCCTGTGTTGTAAATCTTCCATACAGGTATTTGACAAGAAACAGACCCAGGATGCACAATTTGTGTTCTGTACTGTATGGCAGGTTAGTCTCACAGGCCTCAATTTCAGTGGATGCACATAAATAGAAGTTTTAACATAGAAGTAAAACATACATTTGGGCTTAATTTGATGACTTAATAGCCTCATTTTATCCTTTCAAACCTTCATACTATATATAAGGGAGAAAATGAGATAATTCAGTCCTACCCATGTGCAGACAATAAAGGTTTTTGAGATTCAGGGTGAAACAGAGAAGGGAATCTCTTTTTTTGTTACACTGAAACATTTTCTCCCTAGAATTATAGGAAATGCCAGGAGTGGAAATGTTCCCCATATTTATTTATTTGCATACCTCTCTCTACATTTGGTCCATTTGTTAACATTATTCTCTCTGTTTTTGATGTCAGGTTTCTCTGTGACTGTGAAGCTGGCCTATGTTTTCCTGAGAATCTGGTAATGGGGCAGAGAATGATACTCCTTTCTGTGGTCTGGCATGCTCATTCTTTATAGTTTTCTAGAGTTGAAAGAAATGAAAGTTTGTAGCTGAATATTGTGTTAACTCTCTATCATGAGTATAGCATTTGTCATTTGTGAAGTATTTTCATAACTTGTGTTTTATTTGCTGTTCAGACCAACCCTGTGAAGTACTCTTGGCAAAGTCTGTGTTTCTTATTATAATCTAGCCAACTCAAACTCCAACTGGGTTGTGATTGACTGACAATTTTATGTATAGCTTCAAATGAGGAAGACAAACTCCTTTTACCTCTCCTGACCATGATTTTCATGATTTATTACTGTATTATAACTAGTTGCTGCTTTCACATTAGTCTGTTACCTTCTATTTACTTTGTCTCTAGTCCACTCCCTTGTATGTGCATTTTAGTCCTTGTCATCATGCCTTGGCTTTTTAAAAGTGTTTAATGGATAGCTCTCTTTTCCTGTCACTATTCCTTAGACATTCTCCTCATGGAACAATTTCTTCTGACACTAACATTTGCTGAGTGTACACTGCAGTTCTGTGTGTATAGTTAAGAAGTTATTTTTTGAGCTTAGATATGACTGTGTATATATGATTCAAATAATAAAGGAGATTATTTTCTATGCTGTTCAGATGAAAAGTGGTTTTTGGTTAATTCCATTTTAAAAAAGATTTTGCCAGGGAGTCCTTCTAATACTTTTTATTTGCTCTAAAGTACTAGCTCGATAGTATTTGCATGTAGATATCTGTGGATGACTGTTGTTATAGCACTTTTGAAGTGCACTAAAAATTTGCCACTATGAAATGTTTCTATATTGAGTGTGGTTGTATACACACATACCCTGCAGACTCATATATATTTAAAAGTTGTATTCATCCAGTGTACAACAAAAAGTAGAAATACATTTTAAAATTGGAGATGTGCTTCAAATTTCATTGTGTTTATCCATTCAACATTCTCTGCTCTTTGCTTTGGAAATATTTGTACTCTTAAAATATATTTCAAAAATGTTATTAATTAATGCCTCTTAAATAGAGCACTATTTTTGGTGTCTAGTAAATATGTATGTCAAGGATTGAAATGAATACACAGTCTTGAAAATCAAATAAATTTCTAAACATAAAGATTATTTAATGCTGTGGCTTCATTTTTAGTGGCTTAAACCAAATTCCTTTTAATAAAATAATAAAACATATTTTTCTGACTTATTCACTTTAGGACAAATACTTTCTCAGGTTTTTATTTTGTCAAAAATTTGGTCAACACATTGCCCCATTTGTTAGGAAATGAAAAAACTTGGAAAAATTTATATTAAGTGAAGTAAGCCAGGCCCAAAGAAACATAGGTCCCATGGTTTCCCTTATTTGCAATCTAGTATATGTATGAGTCAAGCAGAAAAGGTCAGATAATGTGATGTCAGGAAAATGAACCCTTAGATATGTATTTTAATGTTTTTTTCTTTCATGCATTTGTTTCTAACGCATTTATAAGATTATTGCTTTGTTGCTTTGTATGTCCCTCCCCCACAGTATAACCCCTGCTTTCACTATATTTGATGTCAGTATAACTTGTGGAGGAGATGGGGAAAAACAAGTCATTTAAGGATACAAGTGGACCTGTTGCAACAATGAGAAGTACAAGTTGTCATGTCGAAAACGAGCTTAACGACGTTGGTGGGGGGGGGAGGGAGGATTGGGTGGGGAGGGAGGATTGGGTGGGGGGGGGAGGCTGGGAAGGGATGTGAAGGGTAAACAAAGGAGGAGGCTGCAATGCTTGATAAGAAATGTACGCATTATCCTGCCCATGTAATTGTAACCCCTCTGTACAGTATGTTCACAAAAAAAAAAAAAAATTTGGTCAACAAAATTTGGTCAACAAATATGTTCAAACTATTATAACACTTTTTTCTAATAATAGTGGAGAATAGCTTTGTGCTTTTAAGGTAAAAATTTTAATTTCCTTTGGTGGTAGAATAAATTTGCTATCATGTATTTTATTTTTATTTTTGTGTCTGTACCTAGGAATAAACTGAAGGCCTAGATGCTGTCTGCTAGATTATTGCTCAAGCTAGTGCCCTACCACTTGATCCACAGCTCTACTCCTGGCTTTTTTCTTGTTAATTGGAGATAAAGAGTCTCATAGACTTTTCCTGCCTAGTCTGGGTTCAAACGCTGATCCTCAGATCTCAGCCCACTTGAGTAGCTAATATTACAGGGTGAGCCACCAGCATCCAGCTTGCATTCATTTTAAATAATGATAGAAGTTCTAATTTTATTCCCTTCTTTTCACTTCTTTTCAAGTGTTGGGTTTAAAAAAATCCTCATTTGAAAACTTGGTAACTTGATAGATTATGAAGAAGTCTATTTCTAAGGGCTAGATTGATCATGTTGGTTATGAGTTAAGAAGGCTCTGTGTTTGATCCTTAGCACTGCAGAAAAATATTGGCCATAAGGTTTTGCTTTATCCTTTGATTTAATTCATATAATAAAATGCCTGATTAGTAGCATAAAACATAGATAAATTATGTAATCTATTTAAGTTTCTGTCGAGTAGTGATTAGAAGGCAATTTGTAAGTTGCAGATTCCACTGCATTTATTACAAATTAACAAATGTTTACTAACAGACATTGTACAAAATTCAAGATAACATACTAAGGGTTATATGAGAAGAATAACATGAGACTTTAAACTTTAAGAAAATCACAGTTGATAGGAGATAGAAAATAAGTATAGTAAAGAATTTGAGAGCAAAAGCAGAAAAAAGTTAAATTTGGTATCAAAGTGATGGAATGATAAAAGATAAAATAATAGAGAGTTTATTGTGAACACAGAGGACAGCTAGTAAATGTTTTTTTGCTTGGGTTTTTTTTTGTCAGTGTGGGGCTTGGGCTCAGGCTAGCACTCTACCACTTTGAGCCACAGCTCTACTTTTGGTTTTCAGGTGGTTTATTGGAGATAAGTCTCACAGACTTTTCTGCCTGAGCTGGCTTTGAACTGCGATCATCAGATCTCAACCCAGGATTACAGGTGTGAGCTAACAGCACCCAGCCAGTAAATGTTTTAATAAAGGAATCGTTCCATGAAAATAAGAAATGCTAATACAATCAAGTTATCCAGTGTATAAAGATTAGAATTGGAAAAAAATATAAAAATTTTGTAGCAATTACGATGTGATATGATGAAGCATGAAGAAAGACTAGCATCAGTGGGATGGAAAGAGAATGCACATATAGAGATAATTTTTAACTGACTTCAAACATTTAAATATTGGAAGAAAGAATATTAATGCCTTTTATGGAAAAAATATATACAAAGAAATACCATCATTGAAAAGCTGAGAAATTAGGAAGAGTAACTCAGGTTTCCTTAAGAGTTATAACAATCATATTTTTACTAAATAGAATCGGAGAAGGAAGAGTTCTTTTGGGAATGAGTGTATAAAGTACATGTATGTAGTTAAATGATAATTTATTAAAACCATCCTTCATAAATGGCCAATAATGTGGTTTATTCACTTTCTAGATGACAGCTGCTACTTCCTCTTTCTTGGTTCCCTCATGCATTCTGAAAACTACCTACACAGTACTGATCTTCTTATTTCCTTTTGCTTTTTTCTTTTTTGTTATCTTTGGGGCCAAACCTGGGGCTTGAACTCAAGGCCTGGCTGTTGTCCTTAGCTGTTTTGCTCCAGGCTAGCCCTCTACCACTTGAGCCACAGCTCCACTTCTGACTTTTGGTGTTTAATTGGAGACAAGAGTCTCATGAACTTTTCTGCTAGGACTTGCTTCAAACCACAATCCTCAGATTTTAGCCTTCTGAGCAGCTAGGATTACAGGCATGCATGAGCTGTCAGCACCTGGCTTTATTATCTCCTTTTAATTTACCAGAGGGCAGTTTATCTTATATTGAATAATGTTGATCTGCACTAACCAATATGATATCTACTACTTAAAATGAGGCTAGTGCAATTGAGGAATTGATTTCTTGGTTATTTAAATTTTAGTTTGAACACTGAGGCAAAATAAAACATTTTCCACTAAGTATTATTCTATTATTTTGGTAGGATTTTAAATTTCAGTTTAGCCATGGAAAATTTGACATCCAAATTGAGATGGTCTAGGAATATAAAATAAAAAGCATAATTTAAAGGCACAGTACAAAAGCTTAAGTATCTCATTACATTTTTTAACAGTACTGGGGATTGAATTCAAGGTTTCAAATTTGCTTAGGCAAAAATGTACTGTTTGATTCCCTACCCCTATCCATATTAATATTTTAATCATGAGTATAAATTAAAATTTTAGTAAATTTGGTTAATGGAAATATATTATTAAAATTAATTTTGCCTGTTTCTTTTTACATTTTATTTTCTAAATGGATATCTTTTTGAAGATGACCATGTTATATGGCCTTAGCTTGTAAATCTCGAACTTGTAGTGGCTTCAAACTTTTGAGTCTCCTTTTTTTTTTTTTTTTTTTTGTCAGTCATGGGGCCTGAACTCTCCGGGCCTGGGCGCTGTCCCTCAGCTCTTCAGCTCAAGGCTAGCACTCTACCACTTGAGCCACAGTACCGCTTCCAGCCTTTTCTGCTTATGTGGTGCTGAGGAATCGAACCCAGGGCCTCATGCATGCAAGGCAAGGCAAGCATTCTACCACTGAGCCACCTTCCCAGCCCTTGATTCTCCTTTCTTAGCCTCCTAAGTGCTAGAGTCACAGTCATGTACCACCATACATGGCTTTTTTTTTTTTTGGGTCCTGTCGTGGGGCCTGAACTCTGGGCCTGGGCGCTGTCCCTCAGCTCTTCAGCTCAAGGCTAGCGCTCTACCACTTGAGCCACAGTGCTACTTCTGGCTTTTTTTTTTTTTTCCTTATGTGGTGCTGAGGAATCGAACCCAGGGCCTCGAGCATGCAAGGCAAGTGCTCTACCACTGAGCCACCTTCCCAGCCCTACATGGCTCTTCTTACTTTCTTAATGTGGCTACTAGAAAATTTAAAATTACACGAAATGGCTTTTATCACAATACAAACAGTTTAAATGTAAAAAGTAAAATTGTACTTGTAGCTGTAGCTTTCTTTGTGTTTCTATTGGAACAAACCAATACAGTTGTTACATTACCTATATAAACTCCATATTTATATGCCATCATCCATTTCTCCAGTCTGTTGAGATTCTTTTCTCTTACTGATTTTAAGATCAAGTGGTCATTCTCTTTTATGTTTAGAATAATAATGTATGTATGATAAAAGATTACATCATAATTGTAGGGGGCATATTTTGCCACAGAGTTCAAGAATTTTTATTTTTGGCCAGTCATGGGGCCTGAACTTGGCCTGGGCACTGTGCCTCACCTCTTCAGTCAAGGCTAGTGTTCTGCCACTCGAGCCATAGCACCACTTCTGGCTTTTTCTGCTTATGTGGTGCTGAGGAATCGAACCCAGGGCCTCATGCATTCAAGGCAAGCACTCTACCACTGAGCCACCTTCCCAGCCCTCAAGAATTTTTAATGAAAGTAAAATAGGAATTTGTCTCAAATGGAACGGTGAACAGAAGATCTTTAAATGTTCAATATCCCTGGATCTTAATGAGGTTGTCTTCAGGCTTCTTGCTCAAAATCTCTTCAGAGAGAATTGTGAGACAACTGCTGCCAGAGAGCCTAGTCTGGAGAATATGTACCTATTTTGTAGTTGTTACACTACAACTCGAGATACAGTGTAACAAAAAGAGAGAATGAAAAATTTATGAAGAAATGTGGCCTTCACCAGGATTTAAATTGTATCTGACTGTATGTTTGATAGGAAGCCTACATGGTAAGCTAGCATTATCATTCTTTTTTTGCGGGTGGGGGGTAGGGGGTGGGGGGTGATGTTTGGTCATGGGGCTTGAACTCAAGGTCTGGGCACTGTCCCTGAGCTCTTTCCCCCAAGGCTAGCACTCTATCACATTGAGCCACTGCTCCACTTCTAGTTTTCTGGTGATCAATTGGAGAAGAGTCTCAAAATTTTCTGTACCTGCTGGCTTTGAACCACAATCCTTAGATCTCAGCCTCTGAGTAGCTAGGATTACAGGTGTGAAATACTAGCACCTGGCTTATTTGCTGCTCATTTTTATTAGCTCCTGACATTAAA